CATCAGCTTCCGTGGTCACTCAGGTGTCATTTCCCTCCAAGCCCCCCACAGGGGCTTTCTGTGCCGAGCATAAGGAATCCAAGTAATGTTTACTATGAATTTAAATGATAGAAGACTATGTGATAATAAAGTTATAAATGCCTCAAATGTACCATTTCTTAGGTTATATGAATACGACAGCGAAATTGTTTGGTAAAATCTTTCCACCTGAATGACGATAGTATTGTTTAGATTACCAGTCACTGGGGGGAAGTTCTTTTGGTGTTTCTCCTGTTTGTCCTTCAATTATGACTTCATTTCCAAAATGCTATTGATACAGGTTCACAAACAATATTTAACAAGAACAGAAAACTCGACAAACTCAGCGACTATAAAAATTCCAGCCATGCGCAGCTCATGATTGCAAGGAGTTGGAAACAACCCAAATTTCCATCAACGGACAAATGGATTAAAAAACTGTGGTACGTACATACAGTGGAGTACTACGCATCGCTAAAAAGCCATCATGAGCACATGAAACACACTGCTGCATGGGAAGAACTGGAGGAAATCATGCTAAGCAAAGTAAGCCAAGCACAAAAGGACATGTACAACATGAGTCCACTGAGGTAAGTTAAAAAATGCCAAAAGGGACATATGGGAAAAGCTACTAAATACATACATGCCTGGGGTCCAGACCCTACGGCAGGTGCCAAACTCAACCCTGGGATATGTATGGCAGCCAAATAATAAGGAAGGAGGGGGGAAAAAAAGAGAGAGAGACAAGGGTGGTGGGGGAACAGGGCACTAACCCACCCAAGGGGAGGGTGTGGTTTATATCTCCACAGGAGAGGGAGAGAGGGACCAGACTTTAACCCTGTGCCAAGACGTGAATGCCACATACAGACACGAACCAGGGAGCCAATAGAGAGGTCTGTGGGATCGGCCCCCAATACCAACTATGTGAGCACCCCACCCCAGAGGGATGCACTTCAGAGCACAGCACTGGAGCTGCAGCGCAGGAAGTGGGGTGCGCCTGATCAGGAGCAAAGGAAGAGGGAAGGAGAGAGTGGAACACACCCCGGCTCACCAAGCCCTGAGGACAATATTCCAGCTCAGAGCAGCCGAGGCACAGAGGGGCTCACAGGGCCGGCCCCATCAGGAGACAGGATGACATGTCCGTCACTGACACATAGCGCTAAGGGGACAGCACTGGGGACACGGTGTGGGAGAGGTGCCCGATCTGACCCCACCACACCAGGATGAACCCTAAGGGTGTACAGTGGAGCAGCAAGGGGAGCAAAGCAACGAATTCCCCGAGGAATGCCAGTGTTTGCTGTTGGCTTTTCTCTTTCTTTCTTTCTTTCTTTTTGTTTTGTTGTATTAGCTGTTGTTGATTTATTTTTTTGTCATCTTTTTTTGGTATGTTCTGCTCTGCTTTGTTTTTGCATGTATTCTTGTCTATGCATGCCTATCTGGACAAGATAGGCCAGAGGACAATCCGGAGGGGAGAACAACGGGACCAACGGTTCTGGGGGACACGGGAGGGAGAGATGGGGGAAAGGAGAGGGTGCCAACAAACTGAGGAACAAGGGAAGAATAAGTGATCTAAAATGGATGGTGAGGAGGGCATAGGATGCTTGGGGCGGAGAGGGGGATGGGGCTCGATCAAGGGCAGTGTAGCTCAGTGGAGTTCCTGAAACCGGAATGAAGGCCGAACATGATAATGGGATGGGAGGAAAGTAAAAGCAAATAGAGGAAAGAACTGAGAGGCATAGGGCAGTTATAGAGGTCTAAATACAGGCATGTATATATGTAATTATATTTATAGACAATGACAGGGGGAGAGATCTATGCACATATATTTATTTATAAAGTATTATGGTAGCAGATGGACATTGGGCCCCCACTCAATGCAAGAACACTTTGTTCTACTAACAGCATTCTGTAATGTTCACCTTCCCTAACAGGACCACTGAAGACAAAATGGGTACATAAGCAAATGTGGTGAAGAGAGCTAATGGTGCCCCCTGTCAAAAGATATATCGTCTGGGGTCTTAACGGCTTGAAGATAAACAAGCGGCCATCTAGCTCAGAAGCAACAAAGCCCACATGGAAGAAGCACACCAGCCTGTGTGATCATGAGGTGTCTATGGGTTCAGGCATTAAAGACCAAAAACAAGACAAATAAAAAGCATATGAATGGGAATCAGGGGGAGGGCAGAGTGGAGACCCAAAGCCCATCAGTAGTCAGTTGGACACCCCTCTGTCAGAAGGGCCACAAGGAAGAGAAGAGCCAGTCAGGGTGCAGTATAGCACCAATGAAACACACAACCTTCCTCTAGTTCTTTAATGCTTCCTCCCCCCAACCCCCTACCAAGACCTCAACTCTATCTTATCAGTCTGGCTAGACCAGAGCACGTATACGGGTACAGATAAGAGCTCGCAACACAGGGAATCAGAACAGATAAACTCCTCAGGACCAATAAGGGGAACAGCTATACAAGGAGGGTAAGTGAGGGGGCTATGGGGGAACCGATCACAACGATCGATCGATGTATGGCCCCATCCCAGGGGGATGGACAGCAGAAAAATGGGTGAAATGAGACAGCAGTTGATATAAGACATGGGAAAAAAAGATTTATAAATTATTAAGGGGGCATGGGGAAGGGCAGGAGTGTGGGGGATGGAGGGGGAAAAACAAGGAGCTGATGTCAGGGCCTCAAGTAGAAAGAAAATGTTTTGAAAAAGATGATGAAAACATGTAAAGATGTGTTTGGAGGAACTGATGCCAGGGGCTTAAGTGGAGAGCAAATGTTTTGAGGATGATGAGGGCAATGAATGTACAAATGAGCTTTACACAACTGATGTATGCATGGATTGTGATAAGAGTTGCATGAGCCCCCAATAAAATGATTAAAAAAAAAAAAGATAATGTGCTGCTAATCAAAGGATAGCCACACAGATCATATGGAAAGATTAGGGTCAGGAGGAGAGACATACAGGCAATGAATTGTTACAAAGATGTGAAGATAATTCAGAGTTAAAGGATATTCCTTTCAACAAATGGTGTTCGGAAAATTTGATTGCTCACTGCAGTCAATCAATCAATCAATCAATCAGTTCATCCCATTCTTCATCTTGCATACCAGAAGGAGTTAGCACATAATGGATGATATAAAATAAATGTAAATAGACCCCCACCAAGATGTGTTTGACAAAAAGGATATATAAGGATCATGATAAAAGGTATAAGAAACCCCAATTAAAAAAAATTCCAGCCGTGATAAAAACAACACTCATCCTTGTAGCCCCTGCCCATGACCACATGATTGTAATTGAGTTACAATGACAGTTCTGACCCACACACCAGGAGGTTCAAAAATTAACATAAGTTAAATTAGCATAGAGTTGTAGCCTTGTGGGTTTATTGATACATATACATTGGGCGTACAAGCTGTGCTTTTGTTGTTGTAAGTCCAGGGCTAAGTTTAGGAAAGGATAATATATCTCTGCTGAAACACTGTGCAAAGCCATTACAGACAGTCATT